ACACACACACACACACACACACACACACACACACACACACACACACACACACACACGTGCACGAGCTCTGGCTTCAAACGGACCAGAACAAAATGTTCACCATGGCAAAGAACGAACGTACGCACGTGAGCGCGCAACGAATTCCACTGACCAATCAGGGTCGCTCGTGTGTTGTGTCTGTCCCGGTTCGCAGCTCGGGACCCGGAGATCCAGCGCCAGGCACCGGGTCAGAGGAGAGGAGGAACCGCTCCAGGAAGGAGGCAGAGACTTGGTTTCTAACATCTGTGTTTCCATCAGACACCACGGCCCGATCGGAACTTTTCTTCGGTACCTCCTGTGAGTTGGCGGTTGCTATGGCTGCGAGTTCATGCGAGGCTGGCAGAGAGGGAAGTGACGAGCGCGGCTGTTGTTGGGACACGTGACTGGAGCTGCACTGATCTGTTTTGACAAGCAGCGGGGAGGGAAGAGAGCCAGGGAGGCAGACTGTGAGCAGCATCGCGACCCGGGAGCACCCGCCGCTGCGTCTCTACCGCATTTCGCCTCTGATATGTCCTGATCCGCTCGGTCCTGTTTGTTGTTAGCGCCCGGCTAGCCTGTCAGCGGCTTGCTAACCCTTTTGGCCGGCGCTCGCTGAAAACGTCGCAGCCGTAGGTGGAGGCGTTGACTCGGGATTGTTTGTTTGAAAAAGTTTTAATGAAGACCACAAAGGAAGTCAGCGCAGGTGGCGTGTCTAGCGTTGAGTAGATGGCGGCCGTCGGGGCGCTGTGTGCGGGTTGGCAAAGGAGAACAACCGCCTGATATCGTCGGTTAACGTGAGGAGAATGATACAAGACGCTCGCGTCGTAGCAGAAAATACCGAGACCGTGCGTCGGTGTGGTTAGCTGCGGCTGTGGCTACCTACCTGCCTGTCTGCCTGCCTGCGCAACTCTACGGGGGTTGGGGGATGTTTGGCGAGGTCGCCGTCACCCGCAGACGCGTTAACCGCTCGGCAACGACACGGTTAGTTGGTTGAGTTGT